AAACTTAATTAAAAACTCATATTCTGATTGTACTTTTTCGTATTTGTATTGATATCTAAGTTTCGAACATTTCAAATTTCAGTTTTTTAATATGTTAGTTAAAAGGAACGGAAATGACTGTCTTGTTCCATTCGTTTCCTGCAAAAATCAACTTTTGCTAGAGTCGCCATCTAGTGGAGGTGCTTTTATAGTGCTTTCGTTTTTTTAAATATTTCCTCATTATACAGAATCAGAAAGAAATGCCTGCCGAAAAAGGGGTGCCGCGGGCTGCGGTTCCCCTTTTGGTCTGGCGCCACTGGACGGTCGCCCAACCGCGCCCTACCCTAACGCCGTTACTGATCATTCCAGCACTTTGTAGCTTGGAAACGAAAACTACCTCTAAATGCCACTGTGCGGTGATGGTAATAGGCAAAAACAGATCGGGCAGACATCATACTATATTTCAAGGTAAAAAACTTTAATTTTTCATGCAAATATTTAGGTTGCTGGTGTTTTATGATCTTAAACACGAGACACGCATGATGAGATTGTCTACGAGATTCCATCCGGAGCATGTTAGGAAAGTTCAAAAATGGTGAAACTTGTGTTCAAGGAGGCACGCGGAAGCAAAATCTACAGAAGGCATTTTGTACTCGCTGAATCAATTGACTTGTCCTGGAAAGAAGACAAGGGCAATCACAACATCCGCGTAATTGAGTCTCGAGATCACTAGAGACTCACATAGTGTAATACTGTGATGGTGCGCCATACCACTGTTTATTTCGTCCTAGGCATCCATCTGCATGTAAACTTTTTTCTTTGATCTTCAACATCATTTATTTTTATTATTCACCTTTTAAAATTATGAGTAATCCGGTATGCTCTGTCAGTTTAAAAAAAAAACAATTATAATGATAATTTAATCATATGAAAAAAAGGAAGGCTGGTTTCGAGTGGTTGATACATGTGCTTGTTTTTTGTTATATCAATCAAATTTTTATAATATTATGTTAATATTCTTTCTAACTTGAGCTTCTTTCTCACTAATATTAACTTGGTAAGAGCTTTGTGTTATTAGTTAGTAGTAGACAAGATAAATTTTATTTATTTAATATTTAAAAACACTTTTGACAGTTAGATTTTAAAATGGACTCTGACCCCACTGACCCACCAGACTCACCAGATATTGAAGCTGTGTCCCCTCTGATATTTTCTCAATCCTCTTCATTGCTTGACATGAAAATTGATTCTCTTAAACATAAATTACCGGCAGAGGTGGATACAAAATTAGACAAACGTACTAGAAATACTAATGATATTGACTCGTCGGTTTCTATACAGAATATTTATACACATCCTTGTCTCACACAAGAACGTAGCTATAGTCACGATGATCGTAGACCATTCATTGTAAATGTTAGTAGGGCAGAACCCGACCCTGCGGTATGTACAACTATCCGGTCTATCAAATTTGGACAACTTGTCCATAAAAATAAAATTGTTAATATTGTTAAAGGTGGTATCAAGAATATGGGTAGAAATAAAATTGAAATTGAATTTAAATCTGGTCTTGATGCGAATAACTTAATTTCCTCAAATTTTATTGTCCGTTTTAAATTCAAAGCATCGATTCCTTTATAAGCAATTTTAGTGGCATCAACCTTCATAATCTTCGCGATGACGTAATTAAAACTGATTGGTCGCAGCTTTATAGTTGTGAATCTGTAGATGGAAAGCTTCAGTTATTTACATCGACCCTCACTTCTTTGTATGATACACATGCACCAATTCGTTCAGTCAAGATGAAACATCGCCCATCACCTTGGCTCACAGAAGATATCAAACGATTGTCCGAGCGTAAAGCTGCTGCTAAAACGAAATATAAATGCCGACCTACCGCTACTAACTGGGAAAAATACGTAAATATCCGCAATCAATGTAATAAGGTGTGTAGGAATGCACAACGCCAATTTATTCATACTTCGATTGAAAATGGAAATCCAACGAAAGTTTGGAAATTTCTGAGATCCATGGGTATTGGTAATAATCATCAAAAACCCTCGGTTTCGAATTTAGATATTAACTTACTCAACAATCACTTTTGTTCTTCACATGGTTTCGTTTCAACAAACAAGTTGAATACTTTGAATTTTCTGTCATCTCTTCCATGCCCTAATTTTTCTCCCTTTTCTCTTTCTCAATTCTCCGTCTGTGATGTTAAAAAGAGTATTATGTCAATTTCGTCAGGAGCCGTAGGCAGTGACTGCATCAGCCGTAAAATGATCCTACCTGTCCTAGATGTAGTCCTCCCAGTCATAACACATGTCCTTAATCACTCCATTTGTACTAGAATCTTTCCATCTAGTTGGAAAAATGCTCAAGTCATCCCTTTACCAAAGAAATCCAAGCCATCATCCTTTGCTGACTACAGCAGGGCTATTGCGTAACTTTGTTGGACAACTAATTTTGATAGCCACTGACAAAGTTGACATCAAATATCTGTCAAACTTCGAATTTGTTATTGGCTAACTTGAGTGTCCATCAAAGATGACGTCACGGGACCGTTGTACACCGTAAATTATTTTGACAAGCGTTGCCGTATCGATAGTCTTAAATTGGTATTGTGTAAGCAAAGTGGCTATCAAATATACTACAAAGTGCTAATCATTTAAGTTCTCAACAAAGCCGTGAAAGGAACGGCTATGGAGCAGTGTTTTATCAATTTCTACTGTTGAGCACTATTACCCGACTGCGTTGAATAGACAGAGCTGAGATAGAAATCGTTTTAATTTAGGTTTTACTGAAATTCGCGAGATAATATCTGTGTTTATTCAACAAGTTTCTTTGTTTGTATTGCGATATGTTAAATAAACAATTCTTATTTCGGTTTTATTGTGCAAAATACTATTGCTCTCGAAAGAAGTTTCTTTGGTTTTGATTGCGTTAAATAAAGCTAATGTTGAAAACAGTTATAATTTTGTATTCACTGGACTTTTCAAGATAATATTGTTTGATTTACGGAGTTTCTTTGTATGCAATCCGACAAAATACCAATCTATTGATTATGGCGAGGCCTTATTTAATGGAATTTGCTGAGGAAGAAAGAAAGAGAAATCTGTTAAGAATAGAGAGGCGTCGATGTCGCGATATGAGTGACCCTTTGCAGTTGCCTGAAAATGAGTTTATTGCTCATTTCCGTCTTAACAAAGATGGATATCAGCGGCTTCTAATGGATATCACACCACATTTACCAGTATCCCGACGAAGAACAGCTGTGCGCAATGATATCAAGGTTGGAATATGCCTATTATTTTGAAAGATATGTTTAAAATGTTATCTTTGGATCTAGGTTCTCTATTTCTTTGCAGATCCTTGCAGCATTAAACTTTTATGCTAATGGATCATATCAGCGGAATGTTGGTGCCTCATTCTTGTGCAATATGTCTCAACCAACCTTCAGCAAGTGCTTACATGAAGTTACTGATGCACTGAATGTTCGGGAAATATTATTGAAATATATAAAATTTCCCTCTTCCCAGAATGAGAGAGAAATAATTATGAGAGAGTAGGTATATTGATTAAAATGATTATAATATTTTATTATTGAACATACAATTTAAAATTAACTTTTTTTAGCTATATGGAAAAATTTGGATTTCCGGGTATAATTGGATGTATTGATGGCACTCATGTAGCTATAATCCGACCCATAGAACATGAAGAAACATATTTTAATAGAAAAAATTACCATTCACTAAATGTTTTAATAGTAAGTAATATAATGTATCTAATTTGTTTAAGTATGCTAGTGATGATGATGTTGTGAAATAAAAAGTTTGATATATATTTCAGATATGTGATGCTAAATTGAACATATTGCATGTCGATGCTTCCTTTGGTGGTGCTTCTCATGATTCCTATGTATGGAATCAATGCCCAATTAAAACATATGTGGAAGAACTAACAAACAATAGAGAACATTGTTGGTTACTTGGTATGTATTCTAATGAAAATATCTTGACTAAACAATTGATATTTACAAAAAAAGCTGAAGTAGGAAAAAGAATATCTATATATTATATTATTATTGTAACAAATATTGTTTTGCAGGAGATTCGGGTTATGCTCAACGTCCTTGGATGATGACACCTATCTTAGGTGCAGCTTCGGGGTCTCCTGAAGAATACTACACAAATCTACACTGCCGTGTCAGAAACACAGTGGAGCGTTGCATTGGTGTACTAAAAGCACGTTGGAGGTGTCTTTTAGCTCACAGGGTACTTCATTATGATCCAGTTACTGCTGGAAAAATAGTTAATGCATGTGTTGTTCTACACAATATTGCGATTGCACAAAGTGTTCCGATGCCTGATTTGCTAGATGAGAATATTAACCGTGACCAAGAGAACCAAATCAGTAGTGTGGCAGCTAGAGTTGACACACTAACCGATACCTCTAGAGATGTTCTCGTTACCAGATTATGGCAGGCAAGAACATGATTGATAGTAAATTTATAGTCCTGCATGCTGTTGATTATAACAATTTAAAGAAAGGCGGAGGCCAATTTGAGTTTACTCTTAAAAAAATTATCAGATTATGGCCTAGGTATTTGTAAAACTATTATTAATAGTTTAAAGGAATTTTAGACACAACTGCATGTTTTTTCTTCGAGAGAATGCCTATTTTGAATAATTGATATAAAATCAGGTTTATAATTAAACTCAGAAATTTTTGGTATTAGTAGTATATTGTGGTAAACCCATTTTTATAATAATTTATTAAAATAGAGATACATATCTTCATATCATGGCTCAAGAGCCTGTCTGAGTTTGTTTCGCCAGTTCTTCTCAGACAGGTTCCAACTTGGAACTGGTGGTAAATTATTCTAGTTAGGGCAAAAATAATATTTTTAAATCAACATAATTTGCTCATAGATTTAATAAAATCTTAAAAATAACTAACAATAACGAATTCTTAGCGAAATAAAATAAAATAGAAACAAAACAATAATAAAACCATGTACAAACCTATAAAGACTTTTATTTTTACCATCTAAGTTTGTTTACCTAAGTTATTAATGTTATTATCTTGTATCTGTATTTTTATTATTTTCTTCCACAGCCACCATTCTTTAAGTAACAATTACAATTAAAAGTTTATAATAAAATTAACAAATACAATGTTCACCTAATCCTATGAACTAAATTATGAAAATACAGATTTAATAAAATTAATTAGAGAAGGCTTATAACAACTAACTGTATAGTATAAAATTAAATATTACAATTTACATTTGATTCTATGAACTAAATAAAGAAGTAACAGAATTAATTAGAGAAGGTTTAAATATTGAAATTTCTTTCTCTAATTAATTCTATTAAAACTGTTAAAAGGATAACTATTGTCTCCATTGAAGCAGCACGACGCTCCTCTACTCTAGCTAGTCGCTCCTCAATGACAATACGGCTCTCCTCGATGGCAATGCGCCTTTCTTCCAATTCGTAAGCCCATCGAGGAACGCCTTCATGTCGACGAACTGTAATGCATAAGAATAATGTTTTATGAAATCTACTGAGACATTTCATTTCATTGGATTCCTACTTGTATAAATGACATATTTTACAAAATTTTCATTAAATAAATATAATTAAACTATAACATACTTTGCCTTTGTGCCCTGGGTCTTCTTATATTGTGTGGAACTTGAACAGCTGGAGCTGGAGCGGTACCTGAAAATTTAAATTATTTAAATAAACAAGTCAATCATAGCAAAACAAAGAAAATATCTAAAGGAATTATTATATATAATTAAATAATATTATATTAATATTATGTAAAAATTTATATCAAAATACATTGTACAATGTCAATTATTTATATGATGCATGTTGTCAAAATAAATGAATTCTATTATTATCTTCTCTGTAACTTCATGAAATTACTTTAACATTTATAATATTATTTATAATATTAGTAGTAAGACAAAGGAAAAGGAGGTAGGTACTTACTTTCTTCAGCTATTACTCTGCTAGTCTGCTCCGGAATCGGTTCAGAGTAGTGAGGTTCAGAATCAACTGGAGGCTCACCACATTGAACCAATTCTTGCTCCACTTCCTCGCTAGCTGTCCCACCCATTGCTTCATCTAACCATTCCACTTCCATTGCTGGTGATAAGACATCAGGAGATGGTTGTGGGGTAGTTGATGTACTTGGCAACTAAAATAAAAACAAATGTTTTTTACACATGTAAGTTTTTTGAAGACTTAGAATTATCACACCACCTAGGAAATCTAAAAAAGTTACTAACTTCAACGGGAATACGAACACCAGGCAGTCCTTCCACTGCTACAGGTCCTAAGAGGGCTAGCACCCTTTGATCGAAGTCACTCAGAGGAATAAGTTTGCTTCGCCCTCCACCTGTAGCCGATGCACTCCTCCTAACATCTGCGGCCTTGGCCTTAACCTTGGCTTTAAATTCTATCCAATACTGAAAAAAACAATAAAAAGTTAGTTTAACAATAATATTTATATCGAAAAACATTTTTATAAGTAGATCATATTTGGTTAGTATAAGGTACAATAAAAAAACTTATCAACTAGTGTTAGTAAGTAATAATTTAGCTAAACAAAACTTGAAGTTAAAAGTATTAGAAAGATCAATACTGAGAATGCACCTTTAAAATTATTTAAACATAAGGTTGATTTAAGAGTATATTTAAACAAATCTTTTTGAGTGGCTTCACCCTCTCAAGTGGATGAAACTATGCAGGGCGATAAAATATCCCTTTTTTAGACTTGAAACAGAAAATCATTGAAGGAATCTGCTATACAATATTAAGAAATATTAATTATAAACTTACTCTCCGCCATTGGTCAGGTGTTTTAGTAATCCCATCAGCCACTGCATTGAGTTGGAGCGCTATTGCTTCCCAAGCTTGCTTTGTAGCTTGGTTCGATAGCGGACCACCACAGAAGCGGCCCAATGCAATTTCCTGATGAGATTCCGCAAATTCTAGGAGGATTTCTAGCTGTCTTTGAGACAGTTTTCTCTTTGCCGGCATCTGAAATGTTAGGTACCAAATAAAGAAATGATCACTCAAGAAATATATTACAACATAATAAACAGTTACTAATATTAAACACTAAACTAGAGGTAATATTATTTCGTATCTATATAAAATAATGAAAGCGACAAATTTTCTCCAATGGAATATTCGTAAATCGTAATCTATTTTAAATGCATGCGAACAATAATATTAACACGAAAAAACAGTAACAATACTAGAAAATATATACTTACATTTACACAAAGCTTTACTTACATTTATTCCTTGACTATTAAATCTTTCAACAACACTAACTTAACACCTTTTAACTTGACGAAAGTCCAAGTTGATATGAATTTAGCGCCAAATATTTTAAACATTTTTGTTTTCAAGAGTCAAACAGGTAAATAACCCGTCTAAATAATAATAACTCCAATTCATATTAATGGATGTGCTTTGGACACGCAACTAAATTTCGGCGCATAACGTCGATAAAAAATAGAGGAGTCAAGAGGTTTGTCGAATGACACTTATAAGGCACCGTAAAGCACCGTTAGTTGATGTCCAACTACTATGATACGCAATACCAATGTTAGTGAGAAACTGGTTGCGATCAAATCGCAGTGTACAACGAATTGTCAGTTGCACACTTTGATGTCAAAGTTAGCCAATAGCCCTGCAGACCTATCTCAATCCTACCTTTCCTCTCTAAAGTCCTTGAACGTCTTGTCGACAATCAACTGTCCACCTTCTTTATTAAGAACCAACTCCTGAATCCCTATCAGTCCGGTTTCCGTGCTGGTCACAGCACTGCAACGGCGCTAGTAAAAATCACCGATGATATCAGGTCAGGTATGGAAAATGGAAAAGTCACTGTTCTTTGCTTACTTGACTTCAGTAGTGCCTTTAATACGGTAGACCATGACATTTTGCTTGGCATACTACGCTCAATTAACATATCTCCAGTGGTGATTGATTGGTTTCGTAGTTACCTGTTTGGACGCCGACAGCGTATTCGCATCGATGATTATTTTTCAAATTGGTGTGATATTGCCGCTGGGGTTCCGCAGGGTGGCGTTTTATCCCTGTTACTTTTCGCTTTATTCATTAATTCCATTTCAAATCAATTACTCTCATCCTACCACCTCTATGCAGATGATTTGCAAATTTATTCCCAAGCTCGCATAAATGAACTTTCTCAAGCCATTTGTAATGTAAACAGTGGTATATTTGTAAGTGGAGCAAATCATATGGTTTACGAGTCAATCCATCCAAGACTCAGGTTATTATAATCGGCAGCTCCTCAACAACTAACAAAATTGACTGGTCTCTTTTACCTACAATTTCATTTGATGGTGTGTCATTAACTCCCTGTGATAGCGTGAGAAACTTAGGTGTCTTAATAAATAAAAATCTTACATGGAGGCCTCAGATACAGGATGTGAGCCGAAAAATGTTTGCTGCGGCGGGATCCCTAAAACGGCTACGTAATTTTCTCCCGTTGTCCACTAAGACTGCGCTGGCACAAACTCTTCTTCTCCCTGTATTAGATTATGCCGATGTCAGTTATCTTGACCTTACTGAAGAGCAGCTAAATAAACTTGAGCGACTTCAAAATTTTTGTATTAGATTTATATTTGGTTTACGCAAATATGATCACGTATCTGATTTTCGTAATAAGCTCAAGTGGCTGCCAATTCGTCTTCGCCGGAATGCACATATTGTTTCGCTTCTGTACAATATCCTGTTTAATCCATTTACTCCTACTTATCTTCGGGAACGTTTTAATTTCCATCATAATACCCACAGTCATGTTTTAAGGTCATCGGAGAACTTGAAATTGGAGATACCAATGCATTCCACTAAATTCTTTGACAAATCTTTTACTGTTCAAGCTGCCCGTCTCTGGAATGCGTTACCGGAAGATGTGAGACATGCACAATCTATAGACACTTTCAAAAGTAGACTTAAGGAGCATTATTTGTCACTATGAACACCGTTTGCTTTCTTCATCTTTGTATATATTTATATTAGTTTTGATATCATGATTATAATAATGTGTTTATGTAATCCATTATATTATGTATATATTATTTTTTATTATTTAATATTTTGTAATTTGTAAGTATTTATTTGTATATTGTATTGTATATCATATTATAGGTAACAAAGATTCTTTTAGACGCCATAGCCTACCCAATTATAATTTATTTTTCCTTTTTGTAACGGTTGCCTGGAAGAGATCGCGTCTAAGCGATAAGGCCGCCGATTGTACTTATTATTAACTTATTACTGTAAATTTTCTGACTGTATGGTGTTTGTACAATAAAGAATATTTCATTCATTCATTCATTCCTGCTTACAATATCACCCGAATGGGTATTGTCAGGAACATTCCTGTTGACTGGTCTCTCGATGAATTAATTGAGTCTATTGAACTTCCTGAAGGTTGTGGAAAAATTTTAAAAGCTAGGAGACTGAATAGGAAATCTGTACTGAATAATAAAGCCACATGGACTGCTACTCAAACTGTTGTTCTAACATTCGAAGGTCAGCTTCTTCCTAAGAGAATCTACTCATACTCTACTTCTCTCCCTGTCGAGACATATCAACTACCGACCATTCAATGTCACAAGTGTTGTAGGTTTGGCCATCTAAAAGTGCAATGTCGTTCAAAACCTAGGTGTTATCGTTGTGCCCAGGAGCATTCTGGGGACGGTTGTCCCATCCCAGAAAGTAAATCCACCTGCCTACATTGTTCTGGAAGTCACTTTGCAACAAATAGAGGTTGTCCAGAATTTTCTAGACAACACAATATTAAAATAGTAATGTCCCAAGAAAATGTGTCGTATCTGGAAGCTTCTGCTCGTTTCCCTTCTGTTCGCCGTCCCTACTCCGATGTCACGAAATTGCCTAGTCCCTCTGATATTCCAACTCAGTCCCGAGCATTTGCTGCACACACATCTTCCCAGCTTTTCTCATCTTCTCAATCCCAAACATCCCCTCCCACAAGAACATACCGTGAAACTGTAACGTTATTTCCTAAAAGAAGGGCTCCACTTTCTAAAGGGTATGATCATCACACCCATCAATCTATAATCGCAGAAGTCCCCTCCTCTTCATCTAATGGAACCAACTTAGAAAATCTTTACTCATCATTCAGTGACGACAGGTTCCTGGAACATAACATAATCTCTACTTACTGATATCCTATTTAGGTTTAATAATGATGCCCTACCGCCCAACGTAGCACAGAAACTTAATATTTTGAATCGTATTCTGCATAAAAATGGTTCACTCAACCCCGATGAAGAACACTTGCCAGTTTCTGCAATGGAATTGTAGAAGTGTGAGACCTAAAATACATGAACTTAAATATTTATTAAACAAATACAATATCGCTATCGCTGCCATTTCTGAGACGTGGCTTAAGCCTGACAACCGGTTACCGATGCGTGGCTATGTCTGTCTCAGGGATGACAAGGCCGACGGCTATGATGGTTGCACTCTATTAATCAAATATAGTTTAAATTATTCACAGCTCCCCCTTCCTCCTCATAGTGATGCATTTAATATAGTAATTGCCCGAGTTTTAGATATTAGTTTTGTCTCCATATACCTGCCCCACCCGTCTTCCACTCTCATAGGAGATTTAGAATAAATCTTAAAATGTGTACCTAAGCCAGTTATTATTCTCGGGGATTTCAACTCCCATCATACCTCTTGGGGCTCTTATTATTGCGATTCATTTTCTTCTCATCTACTGGAAATATTTTATGAACTTGATATATGCCTCTTAAATGACGGTAGCCTTACCAGAAGAGTCTACCCTACTTAAGATCCCAGATCAGCAGTGGACCTGTCCGTATGTTCTCCTAGTCTAGCTCATCTGTTAACATGGAAGACATTGTTACAAACGTATGGAAGTGACCACTTCCCAATCATAATAGCTAAGCCCGATATTTGTATTCCAACTTCATCATTATCGACATTACGCAAATATAATACTCGCAAGGGAGACTGGTACAGGTTCTCCAAAGATGTAGAAAACCAACTGGTCCCAGATAATACAGATCACACAATAGATGAATTATTCTCGACTTTTAAAAATGCTCTAATAAAGGCAGCTGATGTTAATATACCTCGAATTTCACCATCAAAAAGAAAAGTAATATCTCCCCCTTGGTGGGACTCTGAATGTTCGGTAATAGTAAAACAAAGAAAACAGGCTGAAATAAATTATAACCTCAACATGACTTCTGAAATTTTTATTAACTACCAACAACTAGCTGCTAAAGCTAAACGGCTTTTCAAAAGGAAAAAAAATTGGGATGTTTTGGATTCTGTGAAAAACTCTCTCTCTCTACAGTCCCTTCTAAAGTTTGGCAAAGTATCAAACGTTTTCGTGGGTCTTTAATTGACCCTCCGGCAACATCTAATGATCCGTCCACATGGTTGGACTCTTTGCTAGTAAATTAGCTCCCCCGTTTGTCCCCATAGAAAATTAACAAATCTCTCCTTTTCAATTATCCAACATTTCTCATGATAGATTTAGCTCAACATTCTCTTTGGGAGAACTCAAACTTGCCCTTAAAAACCTAAAGGATTCTTCGCCGGGTGAAGAAGGCATTCCGTATTCTTTTATTTCACATCTTGGATCTAACAGTCTATCTTTCCTCCTTGATCTATATAATAAGATACTTGACACTGGGGACATTCCCCCATCATGGAAATTGCAAGTAGTTATTCTGATTTTAAAACCGGGTAGAAACCCTTTAGATGCTTCTTCGTACAGACCTATAGCGATCGTTCCGGCTAGAATGGATAGCCGAAAATAAAGGCTTGTTGGCAAATAGCCAGTTTGGGTTTCGCAAAGCTAAAGGTACAGTAGATAGTCTTGCTATTTTAACATCTGACATACGGTTGACCTTTTCGAAAAACGAATTCCTGGTAGGCGCATTCCTAGATATTTCAGCTGTCTATGACAATGTTCTACTTCAGAGAGTACTCAGAGAGTTCTTCGATTGAGTTTTCCTGTGAGGTTAGTTCGATTTATATACAATCTTTTGGTAGGCAGAAATGTAAAGATTCATTTCCATTACCATCAATTTCCTCCATGAACTATCTGGCAAGGACTACCTCAAGGCTCTGTACTTAGCCTATTATTATACAGTCTATATACCTATGACCTCGAACTATCTGTGTTAAGTTTCGTTAACATTCTCCAATATGCGGATGATATCTGTCTGTATGTTTCAGGCAAACAAATTGAGAAAACATCAGATAGGTTGAATTCAGCTTTATGATTCCATCTTCTGAACAGGTAAAAATTTTTTGTGTTATTCTCGATGCCAAATGGACTGGCTCTCCTCATTTCAATTATGTTCTACAACAATCGGAGAAATCTGT